TTTTGGTTTTGCATGTACAAAAGCATGGAGTTGTGCATGCAGGTTGTATTTGCACACACAAATATTCCTTACTTATATTTGATTTAGGTTTTATGTACACCACCCCCTAAAAAAACTTAAGCATGAAAAACTGTGCACGTGAAAACTTAGGGCCTGCCTCTATAAGCAGTTAGCACGTGGCAAGCTGGGTGCAAATCTACCTTGCACTAGCCTGCTGTGCACCTACTGTCTGTGTGGACTCGGCTACGATGCTCTAAAAATACTGTAATGTGATTTGATCTGTTCCTGTTTCAAAGCCGGGTAGATCAAAGTGCACTACGGCACTTTTAGTGCTTCGTAGCAGAGGCCACACAGACCACTGGTGCACAGCAGGCTAGTGCGAGATCCTTCCTGACATGCTAGGGTGTAAATCTAACTGTTTGTATGGACAATCCCTTAGGTACCTACAACTCAGACCATGACATTAGCAGCTGCTGCTGAAAATACAGTCTTGTGTCATTGTCTAAAAATGCTCAAAACAAATGTAAAAAAAATGCTACTTCTGACCACTATCAGTGGAAATACTAACCTAAAGAATAAGAAATAATTGAATTGATAAGATAGAGCATATGACATATTACGCAGGATGCATATCAGAAGCATTGATAGAGTCAGGCCTTTTACAGGCGGAATCCTTGGGCAATTCACTTAAGAGTTCTGTACCTTCATTTTCCCAATAGGGGATGATAATACTGAAATCATCTTTTAATATTTTCCTTCTCTTAAGTGGGTTGTGAAATTAATGTTTGTAAAATGTAAAACATTATAATGTAGATTTTTGAAAATTATCTTTGCAGATCATTACTCAGTAGATCATTAACTGAAATATTAGTTCCCAACAACAGCAGCAAAAGTGTGTTTACATTATTGTCTGGAATGGTTAAAAATACACTGGTGAGAGACAAATATTTATAAGTCTATATGAATAAAACATTAGTACAGCAAGTTGAAAAACAGCACTTCTTAACTAGCATTCCAACATGCTATGCTACTAACTGTACAGGTCTCGCTATACAAATACTGGATTTTACTCTTATCTCGATTAGATTGGTTGCTATCACTCTGAATTAAATGTGCTGTTGATCTTGTTAGCCATTTGTCCACGAGGAAGCACAATCCAGCTTCCGTGGTATATAGTCTCACCTAGAAGGTTCAGAGCTGTGCTGTATTTATTGTACTATTATCTTATTTTTAAAAAATTCAAAATCAGGTTAACTAAAGTGAGATAGCTAAAGCCATATTTGGATATCTGATATTAGCCTGATTATGTAGCGACAGTTCTCAGTGAGGTTAACGGGTGCCTCATTTGCTCAGCATCTGTGAAAAATCAAGTCATTTTTATTTAGGTGCCTAAAATCTAGAAGATTTTGGGTGGGATTTTCAAAGAGATCTACGTAAGTGAATAGGTGCTTTTTTAGACCTATTAAGAGAGTCACTTAGGTGATCTTGAAAATCCTACTTACAGTTGCCGAACTAGGCACTTAAATTCTAAACATTGAGCTGTCAATTCTTACAGGTCATTTTAGTCACTAATATAATATACTGTCTATTTATATAGGGACTTGTATGGTCCCCATCACTGCAACATCCACGGTTGCTTGGAAAACCAGGAAAAGGCAGATTGAGGCACAGTCTCAGATACACCATTCTTTCAGAAAACAAAATGGCTGACTCAGCATGCACATGCTGGGCCTTTAGTGAGACCAGGGTCATCTTATTAAGAGAGTTTTACAGGTACGTATATCACATTCATATCTTTTAATAAAGCATATAGGGACAATTACCTCCCCAGTATAAGTCCATTGCCATGAGGGGTGAACGTGGTATACAGTGACTTGTGTTCTTCAGTATGAGAAATATTACCGTTGGCAA